GGGACATAAGTAAGCAGTTGACCAATCACAACAGAGCCGGCTAGTTAACCAATCAGAGCAGACTGGGCTCTGGTTTCAGACAGAGGCTGCAGCACAGGCAGTATGAGAAGATTAAAGAGCTTTTTGAACATTAAAGCATGGAGACATGTCCCAGGACAGAGACATAATAAAAAATAACCTGAAATGAGATGAGAGCCCCTTTTACTTTGCAGCCTTGTTTCTGCATATTAGAGGATTTTTTTACACTAAAGACCTGCTGGACCTGCAGAAATGTTTTCATTGGATCTGCTTTGATAACTTTTTTCAGCAGTGAGCATTTAGTCAAAAGGGCAGCAGCGTTTTTGCTTCCCACAGAACCTAAAACATATTAAAAATGTGCTTAGCTAGTGCACTGTGTTCAATAAAAACCCTCTCTATACTTCCTGGAGGAGGATGTATTTAAGATGGATGCATCCTAATGTCAGTGGGTAGAGATTATTATGAATATAAGTACTAAATGTTGTATTGAAATGTTGTGATATGTATTGATATCCATAAAATATTAAATGTTAATGTTCTTCATACAGTAGCTTAGAATTTCCTTAATGTATCTAAGACATGTATTTTATATTCTAATATTGAGGAGAAGTGGTGAAATGACTTTGAATTGCCTAAAATCGAAGGAAAAACAATACAAACAGCAATTATTGTCTTTGGGGAAACTGATTGACCATTTTCTAGTGTTTTAAAATATAAAAAACAAAGCAAATAACACAATCTACTAATGGTTATTAGTATAATCTTTTTTTCTCACCAGAGACTCTTTCCAGTTATTGTTTATTTGAGAATACAGCCCGGCAGTGCCGCTGGCAGATCGCTAATTGTGAGGATTAAATGCCTCTTACTGTTATAGCTGCTAAATTACACTATTTTGTCTAATATAACCAAATTAAAAAGAACACACTCAATAAACAATGTTATGATGTGATCTTCATAGTGTTTAATTGTCTTTTCAGTAAACTGTTGGGACATTTTAAAGTGTGTAAACAGTTACCTGTGGGTGGGGGCGAACCGTTTAAAGCAATAAAAACCAAACAAAGCTCCATATTCTGCACTCAATATCTACTCATTAACATGGGAAGCATCAGTGTTTATCTTTTAGTTTGTTTATGTATTGTGTTTCAGTGTCCTCAGGCTGCTTTCATGGATTTAGCAGAGCTTCGTGCAGTTTAAAGGAAGACAACCAATCAGCATGAATCTGTCTGAGGAGACAGATAATACACTTCCTGTCTGAGGGGAAACAAAGTGAGGTGTTTTCTTCAACATATAATGAAAAAGAGACTCTCTGGATTTTGATAAGTAGAGACATATAGTGATTTTGTATTCTGAGTAAACAAACTAACTGTTCAAATGCAGTGTATGGTTTCAGTGCATATCGCCTGTGTCCGGACCTCGACACAAACTGATTAACCCAAACGCACGACCCAGAGACAAAGTCTTGAATGTTATAACAAATATATATTTTCACAGGTCAGGTATTTCCTCTAGCGTAACAAAAAGAGGACTTAATAAAAACTTAAGCCAACAAAAATAAACAATAACAAAACCTGACATGAGTGAAAAGCGATCCTTTCAGAGCTGAGGCTTGGCACGAGCATTCGGGGAAACAAACAAGACTAACTGACACAGGACAGGGGAGAGACAGGACTATTCAAGCCGCGGCCACACGAGGACGATAACGGTCTTATCTGCTACAGTTCTCTATCAGATAGACGGTTCGGCCACACGAGGCCAACATGGAAACGCAGATAACGATAACGGGTCCCAAGGTGGGTAGATCTGGGGACGCAACGCTCTGGGGGGCAAACGGCTCCGTGATTACGCCTATAACATGATGTTATGATAACGTTGAAGCAATAGCCCCGCCTCTCCCCACGTCTCCTGCTCAGAGATCAGCTGCTGGGCTGTCAGAAGAGGGGGAGGAAAAGAGAGGCTCCGTGTTTTATTATTATATTATTATATAGAGTCGTTATTCATTTGTTTTAAAGTTCAATAAATAACAAAGAAGACCTCTGACCGGCACTTTTCTAATCTTGTCCGGAAGATTTAAACTTTAACGGACATGTTGACCGGCGAAAATAAATCTGACTGAAACTCTGCCGCACGGTCCCCTTGTCCCTTGGAAGAGGCGAGAGGTGGGTGTTTTTCATCTGCTGGTGGACTACCGGAGAGTAGGAGCAAACGCTTGCCTCGGGGAGGGAGAAAAAG